GGCTTTTGTGAACTGTTCCAAGAAATCTGCAGTTTAATTTAACACTACAGTGTCCATTTTCCCAACTCTTAACTACTTCTGAGTCCACTTAAGTCATATGTATGACCCTCACTGCTCCACTGAAGCTACTGCAGCAAAGCCCATCAGTGGCCTCCTTTGAGTAATCCTTTGAAATCTTACACACCTTTTCTAGTCTTTTCTGCAGCATTGGACACTACTGGCCATAACCTCTTTCTTGTACCATCCTCCTTGGATTCATGAAAATAAGGTCTCCTGGCTTTTCTCTTAACCTTTGGGTTGCTCTGTCAGGGTTTTCCCAGGGTTTTCTGTAGGCTCTTACTCTTCCTTCCATGGCTTGGTGTCAGCGATCCCCCATCTCTGGCCTCCACCATGTCCTCATTTGCTCTGTGCATTCTCTGGATTATCTCATTTTTTCTATTCATTGCTTTAACTACCATGAAACCAACAGACTTCCAAATCTAAATACCTGATCTAGACATTTAAACTCCAGATTTGTAAATGCATTCATTCATTCAAAAATATTTTATCAAGTATTATCTGTGTGCCAGAAATAATTCTTGTTGCTGATCCAAGACTCGTTATAAAGAGACCATGCTTGGTTCACTGCTGTGTTCCTCCTACCACTTACGAACTCCACCCGAATGGCTCAAAAAGATCTAAAACTCATCATGTCCAAATCTGAACTCATTACATTACTCTGAACATGTGCCCTTCACCCTTTGTCCCATATAATAGTAAATGGCACTTGCATTCCCAAATCAGAATCATCCTCCTCACACTACACATCAGACTGGTGAAAAAAATCTACCAATTCTATCTCCTTACCATTTCTCTTATTAAACTCCTTCTTCTCATCCCCATAGTTACTGCTTTAGTTCCTTAGGCAATCATCTCTCACCTTTCTAGAGCAGTCCATAGCAAATAATACTCAACAGACATTCATACAATTAATTCATAGGTAAAACAATGCAAGAGTGAATGGAAATTTTGTCAATTGCTATTATCTTCTTATAGGTCATACTGATTCCATTTTGTACCTCCATTTTGTACAGGATAAAGCCAAGGTTCCATGGCCAGCATTTGAGGCCATCCAAGGTCAGGTACGTGCCTTTTGCTCTACCTCCTTCACTTGCAGCTGCCTTTCATCCTACAAATACTTAGTACCTAGAATTACTGAGCTGATTTTCAATTTCATATCTTTCCTCAAGCTGTTTTCTCTATCAAAATTGTTCATTCCTCCCTGCTTTGTTCATCTGAAAATTAACTACTCATTTGTCTAAACTCAGCTCACATCTCACTTCCCCTTTGAAGCCTACGCTGACCCTTCTGCTCTCATCTCTTCCACTTCCTTTTCTATTCCCATGCAACTTTGTAACCTACCTAAGTGTATCAGTAATATTGTTTTCATACTTGTTCACAAGCTTGTAGTCATACCATGGTAGTCTCTTCCCTCCTCAAGACAGAAGGCCTTTGTCTTATTAATTTGAAAGTTAATGCATATTAGATACTCGAGTATTTATAGATGGATAAATAGATGAATGAATAAATAAATAAGTAGATGATAGAGGGTCATGAAAATATTTTAGGCAAAGGGATAATAGGATAAGATTTGCATTATAGGAACAACACTATGGTGTCAGAGCAGAGAGTTAGAATGCTGAGAACAGAAGCAAGAAGATCGGGCAAGACAATATTACAAATCATCCAATGGAGAGGTATTGAGAAATAGAGTGTGACAGTGAAAGTAGCAAAGGAGAAAAAGGAATTTATTCTAAAAATATTTATAAAGTGAACAAAGAATTTAATGACCATTTGGGTGGCCAGGCGAGTAAGTATGAGAAAAAGGATGACTTCAGGGCTTCTAGCTTAGATGACTAGACTCTTTCTTCCACTGTAAAATATCTATAAATTACCATCCATGGCATTAAACCAGGCAAAGATACTTAAGCAAAGTGACGAGTTACATGTATCTGTAACAATGTTTCCCATATAATTTCTGAGAACCACATTGGCCGCATCAATGCAAATTTATACGTGGAACTCCATTATGTGTTCCTCTACTACCCCCATTATTCTTCTAAAATTTTCATTTAAAGGGGAGGAATTAAAAAGGGACAAAAAAATTCAAAGAAATATGTCACCTCATGTTTGAATAGCTCATCTGGTAAACTGAAGAACAGCTGAAGACAGGAAAGATGGCACAGATCTTCTAATTTCCACTGATTTATAAAATTGGAAGAAAGTATCTGAAGTAGGCCATTTCTTGCTCTTGCCAGCCATCTTATCAATAGGCTAGGATATGTATTCTTGAAAACACATTTTATATCATTAAAGTATCATTATAACAATTATTTTTGCTTAATTAATAGAAATTTTTCTTTACCTGAAGCGTAACTGTAAAGATACTTTTCTTGCTTCTTGGCAGCGAAGACACTGGTCGACCAAGTAAATTCATCCCTGAAGTACCTCATTAATCACAGTGCACTTGTTCTTGGCAAGAACTTTAATGTGCTACAAAAACTGTTATTAAAGTAAGATTTGGGGATTCCCAGGCTGGCAGAGAATTAGTTAGTTAGACCTCTTTAGAAATTGTTTTCTTATGGTCTTCTTAGACTTACAGCTCAAAGCAACTTTGCTTTATTAATGTAATGTGTAAAGTTCAGCTAGTCTAAAGCTCATTTAAAATCACAAGCAGCAACTGCCAAAGATGGCCTCTTTCCCTAGGGTCTGCTGTAGTTATGCACAATCCTTATAGATGGTGATACTATCCATTCCCTCTTTGTCCTAATGTGGATATAGCACCCCTATCTAATTGCTCAGGCATTACAGTTTCGACTCTAGAAATATTTGTATAATGTAAAACTTCACATTAGCTACATCATATTGACAAGTACATAATTTATTTCCTACCTACCACTAAAGACACTGCTAGACTGATAAATTCTGGTGGGTAGAGAACTTGGACGTTTGGAAAAACCATTTATCAAAATTTTAAAACTCTGTAAGTCCTTAAAAGCCCGTTAAACACCAACACATAGAAAAAAAAATGTTGCATTGCAAGAAGTTCACATTCATGTTCAGGAAAACTTACGTGCACCAACCAAGGTTGTCTCTAACCCTCTTTGAACATACAATGCATAATTTACCAAAAATAAAGGGCTACAAATGGCATCATATTGAAAATTCAAAGGCATGAATATTCTGAGCATCATACCCTTCTAAAAAAAATCATTATCCATACAGTATATATTAGTTGCCAAATTGAGCATCATCATTGCTAATTTTTTTAGTATATTATGACAAGTCAAAATAATTTATCAGGCTGATTAAGTAATTGGATTAATTATATGTCAACTCAGAGGAGACGAAAAGCATCTATAGCATTTCTCTATCATTTATTACAGTAATCACATCTAAATCAATGTGAATCTTACACCATTGAATAATAAAAATTATACCTTTTGATGTAATAATGATGCAACACAACGTTCTCCTTGTGTGCATTGTAAAATGGCAAGTTGGCTGGAATATTCTACCTAATGCTATATGTTCACATCAATCTGGGACTATAAAATTTTCCAGACACCAGAGCTCCACCAATTTCCTGACTCCTACGTGGTCAAATTCCAGGTTCACGTATTTACAAAAACAGCCCCTTCTTCCATGTTATTTCAAAAAATGTTTCTGGTGTTGATGCCAATCCCCCATCCCGGGTGAAAGTTATGTATGGATGACACCTTATTTCTAAAAGAAACCTAGTTCGTGTTCCAAACTTATTTTACTAGGAAACAAGGAACGTATCAGTGAGTGCCTGCAACTTTCTCTACTGATCTCCTAAGGCTGATGTCTTTATATTTCATTTTAACAAAAAGAAGAAGATTAAAAAAAAAAAACTAAAAAGAGAGAAGAAAGGAGAAGAGGAAAAATAAAAGAATTAGGCATGATGTGACGGCATAAAAACAGCCTTAAAATGCCCAGATAAACCCAATTTTAATAGGAGGCTGAATGAATGGACTTTGTGGGAAAAACAGTAGTAAACTTTAAAGCCACTGAAAGGTTTTAAATGCCTAAGGGAAAAATAAACATTTGCTTCCAATCATTTTCTCATTAAGCATTCTCTGCTAGATGGCGAGGGCTTACTTAACACACATATACTTTGACTCAGTGCCACAAATGCCGACTTAACCCACTGCCTGATCCCTGTCCGAGGCGGCCCATTTGCGCTGCTGCTACCGCACCTCGGCCCGCGCTCCTGCACCCTAGGTTCCCCACTGCTCCCACACACACACCCCCGCAGCGCAGGAGCACCGCTTCAGCCGCCCCGCTCGCCTCTTCTAGACCTTGGCCACCTTCTCTGTTGCAGGAAGGGCTGCAAGCACTAACAGATTTTCCGTTGGTGGTGACTGGGGTGGTGGCGAGGCGTGCTTCCGGGCGCACTTAAAACCTAGCAGCTCTCTCCACCAAGTAGCAGCTTCCCCTGCTCCGCCCTCAGGACCTAGCCCTCGATGTCTCCTCTCTCTACCACGTTTTAACCCCGCCATCACCTCCCAATCTCTCCAATATACTCTCAAGCCTCACACGGGCGCTTGTTCTCCCTTTACATTTCCTAGCTCCCGGGCGCCCCGCTCGGTTGAAGTTTAGGTATCTACGGACCTAATTGCTCCCAATTATCCGCGCAGCCTAAGTCCCGCGTCTGCCTGGCTCTCGACCCGGGCGCCTGAAGCTACCAGGCAGTTCACTGGGTGTCCTTAGGGAGAAGGTTCAAGCTGTAGAGGTGGGAGAGGTGGGGCTGGGGTAGGAGGAAGACTCTGGGAGGAAGACCACAAACACGTGCAAAGAAATAAAAGCCACCACGTGTGTGTGTGAGCGCGAGCTCGCGGGGTCCAGGTCGCGGGCGCGGAGCACAACCCAGGGGGCCAGGAGCAGGCGTCCGCTGGCGCGGGCGTGGCGGGGGATGATCGGGGGGCGCGAGTACTCACACGAACGCGTGGTAGATGAACGCCCAGCCGCGGGGTCTCTCCAGCACGTTGTACAGATAGTTCTGCACCCGCCGGTACTTGACGTTGCGCCGGCAGCTCTGGCTACTCGTGTAGGAGAGCGGCTTCCCCAGCAGGCTCATCCGGGCCCCCTGCTTGCCCCGGCGGCTCTCCCTCAGGCCGCCGCCGCCGCCGAGCGCAGCCGCGCGGGTGCCCAGCAGTAGCAGGCCGTCGCCCCTGGCGGCTGCTGAGTTCAGCAGCACCCTGCCCCGGCCCGACTCCACATCCTTCATGCCGCTGCCCAGGCGCCCCCCGCCCGCCGCGGCCGCCGCGCCGCTCTTCACCCACAGCCCGGCGGCGCCGCCCTCCTCTCCTCCCGCGTGGTGGCGGGGCATGGCATCACCACGGGCACCGCGAGGGGGGCGCCAGTGCCTGCGGCGGGGGCAGCGGCCTCATGCGCGCCGGCGGGTTTCAGGGAGGAAGCCGGCAGCCGACGGGTCGCCCGCCGGCCAGCGACCTCCGAGCCGGGGGCGGGGAAGCAGGCAGCCAGCAAACCGCCTGGGCTTCGGGGCGGGGAAAAGGGGGGTGTGCAGAGGAGGCCGAGGAGTCCCAATTTCTAGCAGCCTTTAGCTTCGAATTCTAAATCCGGACCTGTTTGGAGCGTCACTTAGAGAGGGTTTCTCTTGCCCCCTCTAATTCCCGCGGCTACCACGCCCTCCTTCCCAAAGTGCCCTCAGGGCTGGAGCGGGGGAGTGCGGGGCGCTCCGAGGCGCGCTCCCACGCGCGCACACCCAGCCCCCGTCTCCCCCTTTCTTTTCTCTCTCCACTCCCCGCGGGGGAGGACGGGCCTCCGGAGCCTCTCTCTGGTTTGGCTCTCCCAGGGGCTTTGGAGCTGTCCGGAAGGTTAAGTCCGCCCGGTGTCCGGAGGAGAAACTGGAGGCGCAGGTCGCTGCGCTCTCCCGCCGCTATGCCGCTGCGCCGGATCCTGCCATCCTTCTTCAAGGGGCGTGAGCCGCACGGCCGTGCCCTGCCCTCCAGGTATTAACTAGCTCCGGAGTGGGAGCGCCGGGTGCCGCTCCCGGCAGTGGCGCTCGGGTCCCTGCGCACGGGGCGGGTCCTAGGCAGTTCAGTGGGCCGAGCCCGCGAAGCGGGTACCGGGCATCTTCCCGCGCTCACTACAGCCTGCAGACTGCGACTTTCCATCCCAGCAACAGACAGCCAGCCCGCGAGTAACTGGACATCCTTCCCAGCCCAGGGGTGGGGTGTGGGAAGGACGTAAAACTCCAAAGTGGCCCCTCCGCAGTGAGCGAGCTGCCCCCGGGCTCTGCCTGACAGCAGCGCGAAGCCTGTGAGAACAAACGCGACTCCCTCCGTCAAGAAATTTCCATTTCAGCCCTAGAAAATCATAAAATTGCGAAGTCTCGGCAGTGGCGGTGGCGGCCCCAGTATCTGGGAGAGGGCTCCTGAGGGGTGGGGAGTCCGGGACAAGGGCTTTTCGGGGTTTCCACCCCAACTCCGGATGCTGTAACTTACGCCATTGGAGACCTGTTGCTGGGGACAACTGGCTGGGTCTTCTACCACTGGCACCGGGCGGCCCAAAGCCTGCGCCCTTGGCGGGAAGGGCGGCCACGGTGCCACTGGCGGTGACCTCTGACCCTCAGAAACTGTATTATAAGCATACCCAGTTAAACATCACATTCAGCGTAGGGGAACTGAAAGGATGCCAGGCTTGGGAACTTCTTCCAATAGAGCGGCCTTCACCCCAAATATGAAAGAAAATCACCAAGTTAAATTGAAGGGAAAACTATGCTTCTACAACAAAGCCATGGCAGATAGTTGCAAGGTGGTGATTCCCAGTGCCTTTTCCTTGCCTAAGGCTAAAACAATACTAAAACAAAGTCGTCTTTCGGCTGTCTCCGCCCCTCCGAGATAAATACTCTACCAACTTCCCCCTGTGCACACACCCACGCCCGCAGCAGCTGCTTTCTGCCTCCGGCAACAACTCCACTGAAATGCTTTACTTTTACTTTTTATTGTTATCACTGTTATTTGTGTGAAGCCATTTCGCCTGCTCCTGGTCACCAACAGGACCCTGCTTCCCTTCCTCCTTTCCCCCAAGCCTCTGGGCAGCCGGCGCTAGCTGGGAGCTCCGTGCAGCTGGTGCCACGTGACTCGGAGCAAAGCACCAACACCCAGAATCACTCTCGCTTTTCCCTAATACACTTCACACCCACGCACTGTGGAGGTGCGAGAGAGATTGCTCCGTGCCCTGCTATTCGTGGCAGATGCAGAAAGCGCCCCGGAGCAAGCTCTTGAATCCTAGAGCTGCGCGGGGACCCGGACTGAAGGCGGGGGGAGTTTGCTGTTGCTATATTTAGTCTCCCCATGGAGTTTCTGTGCAGGGACTTTCAGGGTGAAAGAGCTAGAGATTTAAAATGACTCGTGTGCCCGCTTTAAACGTCAAAATCTTGGCTTGTCTGCAGGCAGTAAAATGAAAACCACTTCCTCTTAACCAAGCTGTTTTCCTTGTTGCAGACTTCTACTACTGCTGGGTGGGTAAGGTCCTTTTCATCTCATTGGTAAAGCTGGGCTTGCACACGGGAAGTCTAAGGAAGGCAGGGCACAGGGACATGTTTCCCTGGAAGAAAGCCAGCTGCTTAATTTCCAAGTGATGCTTTCCTGGGAGTGCAGCAATAACACTAGTAAAACTGTGATTTTGATTAAGCAAATACCATTAGGCTTTTTTTTTTTTTTTTTTTAATG